CGGGCCGGGGGCGCTCCCCGTTCCGGGGCGGCTCCTGACAGGAGTCCCCGGGTCCTGCCCCAGGAGGGTCTCCACACCTGCCCGCTTCGCCCTGATGTCCCGTTCCCTTCCGCGGTAAGGTCAGAAATGCTGACAGCTCACTTGGGTGTCAGGCGGTCCTGCTGCATCGCCCCTGAGCTGTTCCATACCGTTAGACGTGTTCGTTGTTTCTCTGATTTCTCACGGTGTGGGCATGGCGCTGGGGTATCTATCACTACACGTGGCGTGACTTTTACTCGCTCTTGCAGAGGGCTTTTTTTTACAAAATTAATCCTGACTAACCCCTGTTCGTATTTCACCTTCTGGGTATTGGTTTGGCACATTTGCCATGGAAATCAAACTTTCTTCCTGTGTAGAATCTCCAGGCACTTTCTGCATGCACTTTGTTTGAAGAACAATTTGCTGAATTAATGTAGCATGCACAAAGATAACTTGAATTGACGTACTAGCAGGGTACCATCTATCTCGTGAGCAAAAGTGGAATATTCCTGCCCTTAGGTCCCTTTTTAATCTTGAATTATTAATGGCTCTCTGCATTACAAGAATGAAATTTATAATTGGTACAGAGTGCAAATGCATGTAGAGAACTGGATACAAGAGGAGCTGGATATAAAGAAGGATGTACCTCCCAAAAAGACCTAGCTGGAGAATGATGTTAAAGAGCCCTTTCTCTTTACAGTTGTTGAGAACCTCTGGGGAGAAGCAGTAGGCCATACCTAGCCCAACTCTTTTGCAGCTGGAAAAAGGGAATGAGAAAAGGGAAAACCTTTTCAGTACTTGGGGAACATAGGATTAGTAGTGTTAGAGTTGCTTGCACTTTCATTTAGGACCTGTTTAAATGAGTTGTTGGGGTTACTCCTAAGATAGGGTTAGTGGCAATCAAAATAGCCCATCTTCTTTTAGAACCTCATTGTGAGCTTCACACCAAATGTTGCCATTTGTGCTTAGTTAAATGGAAATATTTTTATCACATATCATTATTCTGTTCTCTGTGTAATAGGTACAAAAAAAACTTCCTTTTTCTCTGAGAGACCCCAGAATAAACATACTTGCCTAAACTGAAATAGAAACGGCAAAACACTTACATTTGCTGTAGATCCAACAACATCATGTTCATTTAGGTATCAATGGGAAGTAACATTTCTACTGTCTGTTGAACCATGTAATGTAGAGCAAGTGAGGTGTGTCATAGTAAAGAGTACAACAGTGAATTAAGGTTCTGCTCTTCCTTTTACTTGAACTTCTCCCTTTTCTTTACTTTTTTAAAGGCAAAAGTAAGTGAGACTGCATTAAGCAAGTCAGAAATATATGGATTAAAAGCACTTTTCTTCCACACAATCCCTCAAAGTTTGTTGAAGAGATTTAGGGTAGATGTACTGTGAATATGTGGTGTTATGCACAGAGATGATGGACTAGTTAAAGGAAATCCGTAAAAAACTTCAGAGGATAAAATTCTACAATATTGTTAGTTTGGTTATAATAATAAAAACTCCCAACAAACCAAACAAAACAGGAGTGGGGTAAAGACTGGATCAGCTAAGGCTTCTGAACAATGCAAAGGTGAAGCTGAGGTGGATTTGAGGGAAAAACTGGGCTGAGTTTTCTTGAGTTTTCTGTAGTGTAGTGTGTAAGAGGAGTGTCTTGTCCATCACAGAAGAGGCTTCTAGACCAGATTAGACATTGGCCACACGGAGTCATCCAGGGAGCCCAGTGTTCCACCCGACCTCTTCTGTGTTCCTTACAGGCCTGGTTTGCACAGCAAATGTTTCACTTGGCAACCTGCAGCAGGTGTTCCTGTTCCTCACCTTCCTGCTTATTTAAAAGAAATTCCCCACTTTGGAGAATTACACCATGCACGTACATCCCTCACTGAATTACTCTGTGTTCCAGCAGGTTTTGGTTTCCTTCAGCCCACGGTGACCTTGCTGCATGCACTGCACACAGTATCGTGGTGTGCTCATTGTTGTGGGTGAGCATTAGTTCAGATAGTGCCTGCCTGGGTGCAGGGCGGATGGGAGAGAAGGAAGTGCACTACCACGGCCAGAACTGATACTTTCTCTGCAGGCACATAGGGTGAGAATCACAGTAAGCCAACTCACTTCTCAGCTGTGAGCTCCTCGAGGCTCTGGTAAGGAAGGTGCGTGTAAGGTTCAGCTACTATATTCTTCTGAATGCAGATCATCATCATAGAGAGAGATCTGTTTCCACTACCATGGTATGAAAGATGTTTGTATTTTGGAATTGTAATAGAGTAGAACAATACTAATTAAGAACTCAACTATCTTCAAAACTGGAAAGTGGAAGACTGAGGGGCAGGGGGATGAAGGCCATAAACTTTTATCTGTGAAGGGGAACTTTTAGTCTTATGCTTTAGTAATGATGAAAATCAGGTTTAGCGACATTTCTGTCTGCTTACAGTCTTCAAACAACTGGTCTGACTTTAATAGCATAAGAATTAAAGAATAGCAAGCAAGAGAGTCTTACTGTGGCCCTTAATATGACAATAATATAAATGATTAATGATTGATGAAAAAGAATTGTAAATGAACTTGTGGAAGGGCTTTATATGTCTGTTTGAGAATAAGAAGGATCTTGATATATCCTTGGAGGTCATATCTGTAGATTTTAATGAGAGTGAAACAGAGAAAGGCTGTTAGAAGTGAATGAGATCTCAGTGAAGTAAAACCGTGGAAAGTTCTGGGGGCTATGATCAGATAAATTAGATGGCTTTTTCTTTGTTGTTTTTTTTGAAAAGGGATGTTCTGAAAGAATCTGTAAGTAACTTCTAATCTGCCATCAATACTCAGGAAACAAGTAAACAGTTATGAATGGTACCATATCACATATATATATAAACACTTTTAGAGCCCTGAGTATGCTAATGTCACTAATTCATTATTTGGGGGGTTGTTTAATTGTGGGTTAAGGCTGTTATTTGTAGTGCTTACAAAGGGAGCTGTATGGGCCTGCCTTGGAGGAAGTAAGGGTGAA